TGTGTCACAATTATGTTAATTATCACTTTGAAAAAATAATCTTTATATTAAAAATATTAATAATAATAAGCCTATTAAATAATATTTATAATTAGTTTTCAAGAAAACATATTTTTTATTATTTTAGTATATATATTTTTGATTATGATAGTTTAACACATATCACATTTTTAAATGTATAATTGGCATGTCACATTCATGTTAATTAGTAATTTTGAAGAACTAAGCTCAATATAACCTTTTATATTTATATTTTCACTTAAAAAAATCAAAAGGAAAATTTCTAAAAAGATTGCTACTATTTTTGAAATTGTTTTAACTATTAAATCATTTTTTTTAAAAGTACTTTTCTCAAATTTCGTTTTTATTATCTCATTATATATATTTTTAATCATTATATATTATAGAAATTTCACAAAATTAGTAGGAAAATTATCAACATATAATATTTTGCAATTATCTTTTGATTTACGATTTTAAAAAAAGAAAATTACTGTTAAGGATAATAAAAAATTGAGTTGTATCAAGATATTAAAATAAATACTCAGGTAATACTTTTCATGTAAATATACTATTTTGTTTTGTAAAAATAATATGTGGAAGCTTAAACCTAAATATAGATGTTAAATATTTGTAACTATTTTTGTTCATATTTTTACCATAAAATTATCTATTAAAAAGGAAAATTAGTTACTTATAAAAAAATAATAAGAGCACTTTTACAATTTTCTTTTAATTAGGCTTTTAAAAAGTAATATTATTTATTTCAAAGTCGGTTTTTCTTCATATTTTGAATTAAAATTTATTGTACTTGTAGTTTACAATTTTTTTTGTTTAACTTTATTTTAGTATATATATTTTCTATTATGAGATAGTTTAACACATATCACATTTTTAAATATATAATTAGCATGTCACATTCATGTTAATTAGAAATTTTGATGAACCAAGGTCAATATAATCTATAATTATATTTTCATTTAAAAAATTCAAAAGGAAAATTTCTTAAAAAGATTACTACTATTATTTTAAACTCTTTTACAATTAAATTATTTTTAAAAGTATTTTTCCCAAATTTCGTTTTTATTATCTCATAATATATATTTTAATCATTATATATTGAAAACATGTCATAATATTTGTAGGAAAATTATTAACAAATAATATTTTGCAATTATCTTTTTGATTTAAGATTTTTAAAAAGGAAAATTAATGTTAAATAATATTTATAATTTATATTTTAATAAGATTTGTTTTTGTTAATATCTTATTATATATATTTTAATTGTAAGATATATTAACACATGTCACAATTTTAAATATATATTTACATGTGTAGCAATCGTGAAGTAATTTTGAAGAACCAAGCTTTATATATAATAAGATGTTGTTTTTAAAATAAAAATATACTAGGTGTTGATCTGCGCCCGACGCAGAGTGAGTGACGGAAAGAGGTTATTACTATAATGTGTAAGATAATATAATATAAGCTTATTTGTATTTTTTGTTAGAGCAAAGTTAGTGTATTGGTTATATCCATTGATTGAAGTGTTTATATGGGAAAAACAATTTCAAAGTAAGGAAAGACTTTTATTAATTTATTAAATAATTTATGAAAAATAAAAACATAAGAATATAAATATTCATTTCATAACCAAAGTATGATGATAATAATAAAATAAATAATTGTAATAGATTTTTGTATATGATATATTTTGACTTTTTAAAACTAATGTATATTTATATATTTAAACAATTACAGTAGAACCTCTATAAATTAATACTCGATAAATTAATAATCTCTATAAATTAATAAATTTTGCCGGTCCCAGTTCGCGCCGGTATAAAATATAACACAAATCGATAAAATAATAAGATAATAATATTTTTAGAACTTTCATGTAGATATTTAGTCCCATTAAAATCATAAATTAATAATTTATCTTTATATATTTCTATATAAGGACAAACTAAATATTATATTGTTGGTTTTATTTTCATAGTGAAAATACATCTATTTTTCTTAAATTTTCAATATATATTGATAATATTTAATAAAATTACATCTAAAACCTAATTAAAATTTTGTGAAACATAAAAATATACACCAAATAAGATAATAAAACAATATGAAAGTCAAATTTTATATACGGTAAAATCAAACATTTTCTTATTTTATAAACAAAAATATTTGAAAACAGAAAAAAATCTAAAAAGGAAATGTTTGTAAATTAATATATCTATAAATTAATAAAATTGTAAAGTCTCATTGAATGTTTTACTGTACTTATATATTTATAGAAGTTTTACTGTACTTATATATTTATAGAATCATTGAATGTTAAGAAAACCTTTAACTAAGAATGAAAATATACATAGCATAAATTTTTATATTCAGAAAATAAAAACATAAATTAAATGAAAATATCATATATCCCATCAAAAGACACTGTTTGGAATCCTCAAAAGTTAGTCTTCTAGTCAGCTTAACTTATGTAAGTAAACATCAAAATAAATTAATCAAGAAACACTAAAATGTTCATGTATACTTGCTTCTTTTTGAGAACTTCTATCCTTAGAAGTTCAGGATCAAACGAAATGTGAGAACATCATTCAAATCTCTTCTAATTATATATTTGAAATGACCAACTAAATAACTTATATCACATATGTATATATATCTATGTGTGTGTGTGCAAGAGCTATACGGCAAAATAAATTATTTTCACTCAATGGATCCTAAACTTAAAACACATAACACAACATGAGCATCCGTGGAGGTTCAAAAATCAAGTAAATTCTGAGCGTTAGTTACATAATCGACACACTTGATTCCAGTGAACCTGTTTGTAAAGATCAATATAAGACGTAATATTAATAAAACTATTTACAAAGACATAATTTCAAATAAACATGTTTGTAGAGATCAATATATAAGAATATTAATGCAACTGTTTATAAAAACTAATTAAAAAGGATATACTAATAATGAGGAGCACAAACTCGAGATTACTTAAAACTTCACTCTTAGGTTTTCGAACAATTGCTTTATGTAAATTAATTATCTTCACATAACTTTTTTTTTCTTGGTATCGCAGTTTATTTTTTTGTAGGTCGGTTGTGATTCTGTAGAAATAACTTTAGTTTGATATATATATATATATATATATATATATATATATATTCATCAAACTTAGGGTTTAGACACACAAGATTTGAGTTTCAAACTTAAAAGCGTAAATTTTGGAAAATTTACGCTTTTAATGTTTGGCAAATTTGGAAAGTATTGATATACTATAGTATTTGACCATAAACCAAGTATGTTTGACCATAAATCAACAATAACTACTTGTGCATCACCATTTATGTTTATTCAATACTTCAAAAATCATGGAAATTAATTGAAGGGATTCTTTGAATTTTATTACAAATTTTAGAGAATTATAAGGTTCAGTAGCATGAGAAAAAAAAATTCTTAGTCATTTTGTTTAAAACATATATTTCTTTAGTTTGAGAAACAAACGATGTATCATAAATATTATAGTTTAAAAAAAATTATTCAGAAATAGAATTTACGTTTGGTTTGAGAAAAAAAATATTTTTTCAGATATCATATAATAATATTGATATCATATCAAAAATAATGCATTGGAAATGTGAAATATCTATTTTTTAGAAACAATTTTTTTCTTCTAAAACATGGATTATACTGGAACAGAAAAAATGTGTAACTAACCATATTTGATATATTTAGTAAAAACGCTACTCATATAATATCTATTTTTATTTTGCAATTAAAACTGACTTATATTTTGGTTGGTAACTAACCATATTTGATATATTTACGATTATGGTTAATAATTTACCGTAATTTTATATCTTCTGATTGATAATATTTATGTCTAGAATCACTAACTGATCTTGTCTCTGAATTTAATTGGCAAAAACTAATCAAAAGAGGAAGCAAATTTAAATATAGTTTTTTGGAATATAATCATTTTGAGTGAATAAATTAGTGACATATTTTATGCTAGTTACCATTTATATCAAGTTTTGCCATTATCATGATGACATGATTGTGATTTTATATGTATTCTAGGAAACAATAATCTTTTAGATCTTTTTCAATATAAAAATATGTTCAAAGTGATTTTTTATATGTAGATATATATATATATATATATAACATGATAAAGATAACATATAGTTTGATATACATTTATTTATATGTCAATAATATTTTTATTGGAATTTGTATTATAATAAACATTTGATTAATACCATTTGTCAAATACGATAATTACATAAAGTATTTATTCAACATTCAAACTTCTATTATAAAGTTATAATCGGTAATTATATAGATCAATGATTAATATTATATTTTGAACTTACAAATACATATTTTTTAAATATAATTCCTTACTTATATTATAAGGTTAAACATTTGATAGTGATATTCATACCATTTATACCATTGTCAAACTGTTATTTTAATATGTTTAGATAATAAATAGTGATAAATGCATAGAGATAAATGATGCATAAAATGAAAATAAAAGTATAGATCCAACTTTGGTATGAAATGTAATATATCTAAACAAGAAAGAATTTTTTTCAAAAAGGCAATGAAGTGGATTACGGTGATACCACCTAAATAATGGTAAAATGGTTAATGAGAAAATAAATAGAAGAGACCTACAAAAGTTTTTATCACAAATATAGACCTTAACAATTAAAATGAACAAAATATCAATTAAATGTTTTATTAAATATACATTTATACCCTTTGGGTTAACTAATCTTAGATTTTTTAGGTTTAGAATTGAGTAGTGGAGTTTTGGGATAGGGTTTCGAATTTAAAAAATGGTAAGAAAATTTCAAATTTTCAAAATAAAAAATAATATTTTGGTCATTTTAATTTTAAGGTCTATTTTTATGATAAAAACTTAAAAGACTATTTTAAAGCATTGTCCATTGTTAATCTATGTGAACTAAAGGTTTATTGTCGAAAGTATGGGGATAGGCGCAGGCAGCCGACAGCACGGGTTCTAACTCTAGTTAACCCCTTGCAATTCAAATCAAATTTCATAGGATATTTTGTCCACCCCCAAAGAATTGGTTGGTTGGGAGGAACTGGAATTTTAGAAATTACAAATCGGTTAACTTAGAAACCCGATCCGATCATTCTGGTTCTAATCCACACTCCAAACCCAAAAATCTAAACCAAAGATGCCGAAGAAGAAGCCCGTGAATCTTCCCGGCGATGGCACCGCCGCTCTGTTACCCGTACCTCCGATGGACAATTGGTGGTGGCTATCACACAAAGGAACCACCACTTCATTCCTCTGCATCTCCCTCTTCGCATTACTGATCCGGTCCGCCGTCTCGATGTTCCCCTACTCCGGCGCCGGAACTCCTCCAAAATTCGGCGACTTCGAAGCTCAGAGACACTGGATGGAGATAACCACAAACCTCCCAGCCATCGATTGGTACAGAAACGGCACTCACAACGACCTCACTTACTGGGGACTCGATTACCCTCCGTTAACTGCTTACCAGAGTTACATCCATGGAATCCTCCTCCGAGTGTTCAATCCCGAGTCTGTGTCTCTTTTCAGCTCCCGTGGGCACGAATCTTATCATGGGTAACTCGTATAACGATGATCTAGAGGTTACATCATGCTTGATCTGATCAAATGTTTGAAACTTTTGTGCAGAAAGTTATTGATGAGATGGACGGTTTTATCGTCTGATGCTCTCATATTCTTCCCAGCTGCTCTCTTTTTCGTGTTGGTGTACCATAGGAATCGTGCCAAGAGTGGAGTGGCCTGGCATATTGCTATGATTCTATTGAACCCTTGTTTGATTCTAATTGATCATGGTCATTTTCAGGTTTGTATTGACTGTTTTCTCTGTTGGTATCAGATTTTCTGGTTCTTTGATGATTCTTATTAGGGGTTTGTTTTTTTTTTTTTTTTAGTACAATTGTATCAGTTTGGGACTTACAGTGGGTGCCATTGCTGCGGTTCTCTGTGGAAGCGAGGTTCTTACTTGTGTTTTCTTCAGTCTTGCTCTTAGCCATAAACAGGTAACGTTTGGGATTCTGTTCCTGTGTTTCTCTAGTTACTTTGCCTTGTTTTACAAACACGTGATATTTGTAACGCCTTTTTTGAATCTTATAGACCAATGACGTGATAGTTCAGTTACGTTGCAAACTTCTGTTTTGTTCGCTGTCAGTCTCGTTGTTGTTGGCTTGTTTTGATGCGTGGGCTACGTTTGGCAATTTCTCCAGAATCTGTTGAAGCTTTACCATCTCCCTTTTTTGTTTGACTTATTATTGAGTAGTGTAGTTTGGCCATACATCTTTGCATGTTCTGTACCTACAGTTTTGTTAGTCTAAGCGGTTCTTAATATTTGGGTTTAACAATTATGTGATCATTGGATATGTTTCTTTGTTTATGTCTGTACATTGTGATAGTTTCATATTTCTGTTCCAGTACTGGAACACGTTGGTCATACATTCTCTCTCACTTTGTCGAATGTTGCAGATGAGTGCATACTTTGCTCCTGCCTTTTTCAGCCATCTACTTGGTAAATGCCTAAGACGGAAAAATCCTATACTTTCTGTGCTGAAGCTTGGAATTGCAGTCATTGTGACATTCGTGATTGTTTGGTGGCCATATTTGCATTCTGTGGACGACTTCTTAATGGTAATTACACATTTGATCATTTTAAAACTGTGAAAGTACACTTCTTGCTTCCTCCTCTGATGTAAACTGCACATAGCTGATTGGTTTCTTTGCTCATTGATGTGAATCAAATTGCTGATGACGCAGGTTCTCTCCCGTCTTGCACCATTTGAGAGGGGAATATACGAGGATTACGTAGCAAATTTCTGGTGCACCACTTCTATTCTCATAAAATGGAAAAAACTATTCACAACACCATCTCTCAAGTCTATAAGCTTAGCTGCAACAGTATTAGCTTCTCTCCCTTCAATGGTTCAGCAAATCTTGTCACCAAGCGACGAAGGTTTCCTATATTGCTTGCTCAATAGTTCAATGGCTTTTTACATGTTTTCCTTCCAAGGTATTTATATACATTTCATCTTCAATCTCCACTCCACAACCTTTTAGTATCTAACATTCTTCTTTTGAATCTGCAGTGCATGAGAAATCAATCCTGATGCCTTTTCTTGCCGCAACACTGTTAGCTCTCAAAATCCCTGACCATTTCAATCATCTAACCTATTACGCTCTCTTCTCGATGTTCCCGCTTCTTTGCCGTGACAAACTCTTGCTGCCTTACTTATCATTACATTTGCTCTTTACCCTCATCTATCATTCGCCTGGGACTCAAATTACGTTACCGAAAACCAAAGCTTCATCGTTCTCCTTTACAAGCTTCCCTGGTTATAGGTTCCTACTTAGAACACACTTCTTCATCTCCTTATTTCTCCATGTCGTTTACCTGACCATTCAACCTCCTCAAAAGTACCCTTTCCTATTCGAAGCACTGATCATGATTCTCTGTTTCTCATACTTTGTTATGTTTGCCATTTTCACAAACTATACCCAGTGGACTTTCTCGAGTCATTTCAGGTCTGCGGATAAAGAAAAGAAACGAATCTGAAGATTAGAAGACACAATTCTTGAGCGAGGTTGTCTAACTCTGTTCCATTTTTATTGTCCTTTTGCTAAATTGGAACTGATTTTACGGTCTGCTTGCTGAACCAAGCAGAATCGAGCTATACATAACCGGTGGTTTAGTCATCAGACTTTTGTACGGTAGATTATCTTGAGGTAAAAGATTGAGCCTTTTATGAAAAGAAAGAAATTTGTTTTTAATAAGTTTTATGGTTTTTTTTCTAGCAAACAGATTAATATGTCCATCTTGTCTCCTATGACGGCCAGGATCGAACTTAATATATAATCAATCAAACGTGGCCGTACAAAATTACGTAAAATGTGTACGGCCAGGATGAAACATTTCGTATAGATATGTGGTTTTAATAGTGGTTTAAATTTAAAAGTAGTGAATACCATTCCAGTTATACATTCAAACTAACTGTAGCCGTTTTTTTTTTTTTTTTTACTAACTGTAGCCGTTTTATGAGAAACCAGGTGTTTTATGCACTACGGGAGCGAAAAAATATTAAGTTTAAATTAAATTTTAAAATAAAAATTTGTTAATATTTTAGATTTTATTATTTTATACCAATATTTGAATATAAATATTATTGTAGTAAAACATAAATGTAAAATAAGTAAATAATTTGATTTACTTACAATTATAATTTAGATAGATTTTCATTTTTAGTAAAAGTATAGTCACTCCGTTTCGAATTAGTTGTTGTTTGATAGAAAAAAATTCGTTTCGTTTTAGAGTTTCGAGACAAAATATATTAGTTTTATATAATATTTTATTTTTCTTGATTGAAAAGTGGTTAGGTGGATAGGTAATTATGTTTTTATCTTGAAAATATGTAAAATTAAATATTTCTTTAATCTGTGTGTAAAAACCTAAAATGACAAATAAATCAAAACGGAGGGAGTATTAATTAACTTGTTAAAACTAAAATAAAATTGATATAATTTTATGATTATCCAAAGATAAAACTAAATAGAATTTCTAATATTTGTAGATATCAAAAACAAATTTGTAAAAAAATGGTATAAAATTTTGCAAATCATGTTTAATAAAAAAAACTGTATGATAATAAAATATATTTTATATAATATTTCTAAATTTAGAATTATTATATTATTTGATGTATTTGAATATATTTATTTTAATATTGATTTATGAGTTCTTACAATATTTTGACAAGTTTTCAAGAATTGAAATTAAATTAAATATATTTGTTTATATCATATGTAATCATAAGTCATGTCATCAAATTTAGTATATTATACTATTTTTAGTAAAATTTATTTTATAGATGATATATATAAAATTACTTTACAAATAATGTGTTGGATATATGTTAGATCTGATTCCCATATAGATCAGACTCAACTAGACGGAGTTTCTCTTAAAAAATTTGACTTAACAAATCACCACTTAATTAGAGTAAATGAACGGCTGACATTAAAAAAAAATATGTTAGATCTGCTACAATGTTACAATATCTCACACCAAAAGTGGAGTTGATGTAACGGGTAGATAATATTTTATTGATAAATGGGTTTATATACATTGCCAAACTATTTTGATTATTGCGTTGTTAACCATGATTCCTACGAAGTTGATATAGTGAAGAGTTTCAAATTTTCAATATTTTGTCTTGCCGTAGTATTTTTGAGATAACAAGCCGTTCTTGTTCTCGTTTCATTGTCCCTAAATGGAGTTGATGTAGCCAATAACCGTAAGCTTTTTCATTGGATTGTAAGTTTTAGTTGATAATGAGTTAAATGATTGTTTGACTAAACAAACGAGTTAAACGACTGATGCAGTCATGTTTAAGTTATGCACTTTTTAGTGTCTACGCATACTAATCTGCGCTTTGCATAGAATGATACATATTTTGAATTATTATCATATTTTACATATATTAAACTACATTTGCATAAAATAAGATATATTTTCTTTTTAATTATGTAATTATTGCATTAAATTTTCTGTAATATTAATCTTTACATTTAATATTTTGTGGGGGAAAATAAAATTTTCTCACTAAAATTTTTTTAAATTAGCATTGGTTTTACATATTTATAATTAAATCTAATGCTTTCAAACATTCCGCACATTGCATGGAATATACATGAAGATTGTATATACAAATTATTTGCGTCTTATTATTTAATTTTGGAAAAGCTAACTTATAGTATTATGTTGTCACATACCTTTTTCTTTGTAAGTCATCTCACTAGTTTAAGGTATGAAATTGAAAATTTTAACAGATCTGTTTGCGTAGAAGACTTACCCGTAAATCGTCTGGCTGTGAAAGACTTACGGGTAAGTCTTCCGTTCAAACATACGACTTAATTCTAAGTCGTCTAGTTTTGTTTGTTAAAAAAATCTAGAGAGTATCGTAGACGACTTACCAATAAGTCGTCTATGATAAATGGGTTAGTTTTGCATTTGATCGACTTGTGTAAGATATTTGACTTTTCCTGGACGATTTACCATTAAGCTGTCTCTGAGAAAACAAAAATTTTCAATATTTTATTAAACCTAGACGACTTATCTTTAAGTCGTATAAGGTAAATTTTGCAATTAAAAAATAAAACTTAAATATTTTACTTCTCCCAGACGACTTACATATAAGTTGACCAGTCGGAAGACTTACTTGATAGTCTTCCAAGATAAGCAAAGTCGACCAGATTTTTTTCCGAGATTCTGGTCAACCCTTGCTTATCTTGGACGACTTTCTCGTAAGTCATCAACCTGGACAACTTTCAAGTAAGTCGTCTAGGAAAAGTAAAATATTTAAGTTTTTTTTCTAATTGCAAACTAACCTGAAACGACTTATAGATAAGTCGTTAGTTTTAATTAAATATTGAAATTTTTGTTTTCCCAGAGACGACTTAATGGTAAGTCACCCAGAAAAAGTCAAATATCTAACACAAGTCGGTCAAATGCGAAATTAACCCGTTTATCCTAGACGACTTAATGGTAAGTCGTCTAGAGTTTTTTTTTTAACAAACAAAGTTGGACGACTTATAAATAAGTCATCCCATTGAAAAGTCAATTGCAAAATGACTAGTTTGGACAATGTAGTGGTAAGTCGTCTAAGTCTTCCAGACGACTTACTGCTATGTCATCGGCGTCAGTTTTGAGTAAACTTTCATTTTCTCTATGTTTACTAGTATGTTTTATTTTAAATTTTTGCAGATGATGCGTCAGTTACATGTAGTGTATGGAGAATGGTTGTTCAAAGATGGCTGTTGGGATTTTTTGGTTGATAATTTCAAGGAGCGAGAATGTTTCTTTTGAGTGAAAGTTCAACACATGCTGAACTTGTTTCAATGGCTCAAAAATATTTTAACCTGGACATGAGCACATAATCTATGGAGATAACGTACTCACTACCAGCAAAAATGATTCAACAAATGGATCCAGACATCTCTCCTATTCATGTTACAACTGATGGACAAGTTCGAAACTTGCTTGAGATAACCAAAACGCATGGAGTACGGATTTGTGTATCAAGCCATAGCAAGGTGGAAACAGTTTTAGAGGAAATTGAAGAAGCTGATGAATGTTTTGAAAAATGATGATGATGATTTGGTTAAGATGAAAATCATGATGGGGAGGAGGATGATGGGGAGAAAGATGATGGGGAGGAGGATGATGATATCTCTATTGTTGCCGAAGCAGACGAGAATGGTGAGGATTACAGTGTTTATGGAAATGTTAAAGATGAGGATGAGGAAGAAGATGATGATATGTGTTTTGAAGTCTTCAAAAAGACATATGCTATTGAAGGAGGAAGATCGAATGGTAACAATATCTATGTCAACCAAAGTTTTGTTACCAAGGATGCACTTCTTTCAGAGCTGTGGTTGACAGCAGTGAGGCTTAAGTTCTCCTTCAGAATATACAAGTCAACAAAAAATCTCTTTGTGGCAACATGTCGGGTTAGTGGTTGTGGATGGAAGATCAGAGCGAGTGCATGGGACAAACACGTTTTGGGTAACAAAGTATGTGAAAACACATACTTGCTCAGTGGGAGACCAAATCGCTCAGCGGAGACGTTGTACTCCGAAGTAGGTTGGTAGGCTTTTCATTGATCTTGTTGGAATCATTGATGGGTTGACTCCGCAGCATATCACTGATGCAATGAAGAACATGTTTGGCATGACGCTTGATTACACCACTTCATACATATCACTTTTATATGCACAAACATTGGTGAGAGGATCAGCAGAAGACCAATAGTTAAGTCATCTGGAAAGTCTTCCAGCTAGTGGTTAATTTGGAAAATGGAAAGTCTTCTTGTGGTGTCTAACAAGTGGAGAAAATACCTTGCTCTCATGCTATAGCTGCTGGATCACATGCTCGTGTGCATATCTCCACACTTGTACATCCAGTCTACTCAAAGAATTATTTGTTTGCAGGATACTCAGAGAATATATATCCTTGTGCTGGACAACAAGTTGAGGAACACACATGCGATCCTCCGGCTGAAAAGCGTGGTCCGGGGAGACATAAGAAATCAAGATGGAAATCAAGGTTGAAGCTATCCCGGATGAGAGGACGCAAACCCCAGAAGCAACACAGGGTTTATAGATGCGCACTATGCAGAGAAACTGGCTATACAAAAGCACAATGTAAAGAATGACATTTAATTAAGTCGTCCAGAAGATTTGTGTTATGAATCTATGTATTAAGAATTTGTGTTATGAATCTATGTATTAAGAATTTGTGTTAGGAATCTATGTATTAAGAATTTGTGTGTTTGAATCTATGTATTAAGAATTAGTGTTACTTAATTATAAGTTTTCTACTAAGTCGTCCAGGCTTTATGAGTATGTATTATGAATTTGTGTTAGACTTCTTAGACGACTAATAATTTAGTCATCTAGAAAGTCTTCCAACTGGATGATTTTCTAGACGACTTAATTATGTCTTCTACTAATTCGTCCAGGCTTTATGAGTATGTAATAAGGATTTGTGTTAGACTTCTCAGACGACTAATAATTAAGTCATCTGGAAAGTCTTCTAGCTGGATGACTTTCTAGACGACTTAATTATAAGTCTTCTACTAAGTCGTCCATGCTTAATGAGTATGTATTAAGGATTTGTGCTAGACTTCTCAGACGACCAATAGTTAAGTCATCTGGAAAGTCTTCCAGCTGGATGACTTTCTAGACGACTTAATTATAAGTCTTCTACTAAGTCGTCCAGGCTTTATGAATATGTATTAAGGATTTGTGTTAGACTTCTCAGACGATTAATAATTAAGTCATCTGGAAAGTCTTCTAGCTGGATGACT